ATCTCTTCTTGAAACAGGGAGTTGCAGAAGGGAAATCAACACAGTTTTCCTATGCTGTGTATTATTACTGAACATTCTAATATGCAGAATAGTGAAAGTACCACCGTTCATAAAAGCCTCCTTCCCATCTTTTAGAAAAAACATTTCTGTGACCACCCAAATTTCTTCTTGAGTCTTCCCCATCCATAGAGAAAGAAACAGCCTCCCTTGGTTCTGATAGTAGCGGAGTAACACCCAGATAGGAATGCATCACTTAAAGCTGAAAAAAGTGAGAAGAGCTGCGCCTTTCCTCTGGTAAGCAGGGCACTTCCGATAGACACATCCCAGGATATCAGGCTTTTCCTGGGATGGGAATTGACAGTGCAACCAAGCCTCTTTCTCAGATATGATCTACGCTCCCTCTTCCCTTTCCTTTGAGATTTCGTCCGCCCGAACTTCCTCTGAGTGTTCAGAACCGGACCCCATCTGGCAATACATGTTGCTTCGACCAATCATAGTTCCTCACCGGACACAGATACCAGCGGAATAGCAACGTAGTTCTCCCATCCTTTAGACGCAAACCACTTTCTCAACTTATGATTCCTTCTATTGGCAAGGTGGGTTCCCGGCTAAAGGATGGGAGAACTACGTTGCTAAAACATGCTCGTCCCATCTCTCAGCAACACCCCTACTGGTAGAGCCTATGTACGTAGCCCTTAACCAAGGGGAGATCAGAATATAGACACAACAGCCGCTACCTTCACATACGTCATAGCCCTGTTGTACGGAGTCTAGCCATTGCTCCAAAAATTTCTTTCCCCATGCAATTTGTCCAAACAGAGTTAGTAATAACACAAATAATCTGAAATATTGCTCCAATCGTTTCCTCTTCTTCCCTCGCCACCCCCTTCTCCTTTCGTCCCGGAGGGCGTGTACCTGATCCCATAGCCAATCAGGTTGGAGGCAGGAATCAAGAAGGATTCTCCTCCTGAGCATCCTCCATGGTTTCGTTTTACTAATTGAGGGTTTACCTGTCGGCCAGCCCAGCCTGTGCCTTTTTTTTTTTTTTTTTTTTTTTTTTTTTTTAAACAAGAAACAACCCGAGTGAGTGCTAGCTAGGGGTGCTGATAAGAGCAGACACCACTAGCATACTCGGGCAGGCTCCATCTATTGGTGGGGAGCAACACCTGCTGGAAAGCGGGTCCAGCGTCCCTCAACATGACATTGTTAGGAAGGGGCGCTTCGCGCCTACTATCTTTTATGTGTCATTCATTGAATATTCTAAGAGTTATGATTGCGTTCGGGGGTTAATCTGCTGTCGTCTCGTCTTGTCTCGCATTTCAGACTATGTCTGTATGTCACATCGCACGTTGCTTTGATGGTTACCTATCTCTCTTTGCCTGTCGCATTGCTCCATCTGTTGGTGGGGAGCTGCACCTGCTGGAAACCGGGTCCGGAGTCCCATTGAACATCTTCTGGCACAAAATTTTGCTGCTTATATTCCTTTGTCGGCCCTCAGTTTCCCCGAGCGCAACTGGTTGGTGTAGGTTGCACCCCACGTACTTGTCTCGAGCCTGGCATAGCGCCTATACAGACTAATGACCTCAATAGCTCAGTGGGTAGAGCTCTGATATTGTATGATAGAGGTCCCGGGTTCAACTCCAGACTACGCTCATTCATCATGTCTATGTACACTGTTCGTCATATCAGCTAGGGATGATCCTCTGGAAGAATTTGGGGGAGACGGAGAGTCCTTTCCCATGGGAAAGTTGATGTTGGAGGGATGCTACTCTCTCTCTCGGGCCGGGGAGTGGAAAGGGTTTGGTTGGGTGCATGGTGATACCGTGGCAGTCCTATGGTAGGGAGGGGTGCCTTGTAGGGAAGCCAATGTCGAAACAAGAGGTCTGTCCTGCTCTCAAGGGCTAGGACCCATTCTGGGGGGGTGGGTCTTGGCGGTTGGTTGGGGGTAGTTGATGAGGGTAGAGGTCTCTTTCACTGCCACTGGCCGATTCTCCCTAGCAAACAGACGCAAGCAAGGCTCATTAGCAACCACATACATCCATATAGAGTAGGATATCATACTAAGCTCACATATCAACCACCGCTATATCAACAACTGACAGTAACCAACGGGGGGCCAAGTCCCACTAGCAGGGTAGAGTTTCCGCAACGCCTGAATCTGGACGTGATTGTGGAAATGTGCAGAAATGTCGTAGAGTATCCTCAGCCGCACATCTCCACAAACACGTCCAGATTCAGGCCTTGCGGAAACTCGCCCCTGCTAGAGCGACTTGGCCCCGGGAGGGGAAAGAGGTCACCCAAAGTTGGCGTGGCCGAAGAGTATAACCCACTCTCTGATAAAAAAAAAAAAAAAAAAAAAACTCTGATCATATCGAGTCTGTTGTGGCCTCCGTTAATGCCCCCAAACGGGAACGAGGTTCCTGTATAAAATCTCTTTAGGGTCCGATGGGCTACTTTAGGGCTATTGCACCCTTGGAGCCCAAGGTACACCTGGTTCTCAAATGACCAACCGGGGGCCAAGTCCCACTAGCAGGGTCGAGTTTCCGCAATGCCTGAATCTGGACGTGAATGTGCAGAAATGGCGTCGAGTATCCTCAGCCGCACATCTCCACAAACACGTCCAGATTCAGGCGTTGCAGGTCAACTTTAGGGTCACCACTCGGATCCTAAAAGACCCGACCGATGGGTGGGATGGAGCAGCCCGCTACCTAATCTGTAGTATACTGGATGCACAGATTATGGACGGACTGCAAGAAGAATCTGGATTCCTTAGATTCATCAGCCGATGGGTGGGATGCAGCCTCTCGAATTTTTTCGAAACACCTCAGTATCTTCTCCCAGATCTTTTTTTTTTTTTTTTTCATGGGGTGATCACAACTGTCTATATTCTTCTCTCAACTTCTGTTTTTGTTTACCTTCCACTACCTACTCCTAAGACTATCTAGAGGGGACCCCTGCAAGCATACTTTTCCTCTCTCTGTGAAGGGGGGATTTCATGTTGCCCCTTGCCCCTAGCTGCCAGGAGGAATGAGCGGAAAAAAAAAA